TGAACAAAACAACCCTACTCTAAACCAACACCCCAGGGGTGCCTAGACACCTCTTCTAAGTTTCACAACAGTTCCGGTCATGTATATATATATCTGTGTCAGTGTAAATTACTTGTACCTGATGATGACAAAACCTTGTCGAAACGTTGTATATTTGCTGTTATGTTAAACTTATATTAAAGTTTTTCTTCATTACCCATTCAAGCCATCTCCAACCATTATTATTTTCAGCCTTCATAAACTTAAGCTGGAATATCACTACATAAATTTCGTTTGTGAAAGAAGTGTTTGTGCTTTTTTATATATTTACAGTTTAAATACATAATTTCATATTTACTTTTACGCTACTTTAATTAAATTCAGAAAAAATAAGATCCCGAGTTGCAGTAACAGCCACTCACTCCAGCAAAAACATTCATTAAACAAACACTTTCTGCCGGTACTCCAGTTAAGCCTAACCACTTACAGTCAAGATAAGCCTAACTGCTTACAGTCAAGTTAAGCCTAACTGCTTACAGTCAAGTTAAGCCTAACTGCTTACAGTCAAGTTAAGCCTAATTGATAATTATCTTGATAAGATAACTTCCCATGTTATAATGACAGAAAAAAGTAGCTTACCATGATATTGGGTAAAGTTGCATAACGTGGTTCGTTAAGACGTAGATCAGAACTAATTACAGCAGGTAGTTTGGCTTCAACGTATTCGACACCTCCATCAACCTCACGCTGAATTTTTAAAGTTCCATCCATTTTTTCAATTTTTGATGCAAAAACTCCCTTTGGAAAAACAAAAAATTAAAATAAGTAAAAATATGGGTGAGTTTGGGGGAGGATTTGTGGCCCACTACAAGCTTAATATATTACATGTACTTTTGTTAATATTTAGTTTATCACTTTTATGTAACTAACTCTCATCAGATGGCAGCACCCCAATAGCATAGAAAATAAAATTATGTGGTCGACAATTTAAAATTACGCACAAAAATTTGCTGATTACGAAAAACTTAATACATTTTAAAGTACGACACCAAAAGGAAAACAAAACAATAGCATTTAATGTAATTTCACCACAATGTGTTAATCAAGTAAAAATAAATAAATGTTTTATTAATTCTTACCCTAATTCTGATATGTAAATGACTTGCATAAAACTCACAGAAATTATATTTTGCCAACTTAATGTAGTTCAGACCACAACAGTTGTTGTAACACAATGTCTCAACCACTGCTGTGTTTGTCGTAGCCCAGACAGTGTGGTTCACATAGTGTGTAACTGAGTTAGAAGTTATAAATATGATAACATTGATGTAGACTTTGATTTTAATACGTTAAGAAATTCAGTTTGACATTATTTTAAAGTTAATCAACGATTGTGTGGTCACAAGAAGTGTCTGATAACTGCATTAAACTCTAGGTAATGTAGAGTGACTCACACTACAGAATACTTATAACTTTAATAAAACTTGCTACAAATAACATGAGACATTTCAAGTTGTAACAGTTGTCACGTTGAAGTTACGTACAGATAAACATTGCTACACCTTACCTGAGGCCAGTCAAGAACAGCAGCTGTCACGTTGAAGTTACTTATAGACAAACCTTGCTACACCTTACCTGAGGCCAGTCAAGAACAGCAGCTGTCACGTTGAAGTTACTTATAGACAAACCTTGCTACACCTTACCTGAGGCCAGTCAAGAACAGCAGCTGTCACGCTGAAGTTACGTGCAGATAAACCTTGCTACACCTTACCTGAGGCCAGTCAAGAACAGCAGCTGTCACGTTGAAGTTACTTATAGACAAACCTTGCTACACCTTACCTGAGGCCAGTCAAGAACAGCAGCTGTCACGTTGAAGTTATGTACAGATAAACATTGCTACACCTTACCTGAGGCCAGTCAAGAACAGCAGCTGTCATTTGAGCTGTCTGATTTGCATCATCATCAATTGCCTAAACAAGTAAAAAAAAATAAGCAGTATTAGCTATCAAAACTTAAATGAACAGTATTAGCTATCAAAACTTAAGTAAACAGTATTAGCTATCAAAACTTAAGTAAACAGTATTAGCTATCAAAACTTAAGTAAACAGTATTAGCTATCAAAACTTAAATACACAGTATTAGCTATCAAAACTTAAATAAACAGTATTAGCTATCAAAACTTAAGTAAACAGTATTAGCTATCAAAACTTAAGTAAACAGTATTAGCTATCAAAACTTAAATACACAGTATTAGCTATCAAATTTAAATAAACAGTATTAGCTATCAAATTTAAATAAACAGTATTAGCTATCAAAACTTAAGTAAACAGTATTAGCTATCAAAACTTAAGTAAACAGTATTAGCTATCAAAACTTAAGTAAACAGTATTAGCTATCAAAACTTAAGTAAACAGTATTAGCTATCAAAACTTAATAAACAGTATTAGCTATCAAAACTTAAGTAAACAGTATTAGCTATCAAAACTTAAGTAAACAGTATTAGCTATCAAAACTTAAGTAAACAGTATTAGCTATCAAAACTTAAGTAAACAGTATTAGCTATCAAAACTTAAGTAAACAGTATTAGCTATCAAAACTTAAGTAAACAGTATTAGCTATCAAAACTTAAATAAACAGTATTAGCTATCAAAACTTAAATAAACAGTATTAGCTATCAAAATTTAAATAAACAGCATTCTAGACAAAATATCACACACAGCAGCTTTATTACTAAGTAGACCATCCGTATAGATACTCGGCTATCTCTAATACTTTATGAATGCAGTGGAGAACAGCTGGACTCCTAAAGCCATCACCAGGTTGTCCAAACAATGTATCCCCGAGCCTGTGTACGCCTGGATTATAGGGTCTAAGATAAGACTTGTTAAAAACTTGTGAACTATCAGTGAAACACAGTGTTTACTACTTTTGTTCATTTTTAATATTATTATCATTTTGTTTAGGTGATATCACTCAATAAAAAAATAACTCTTCAAAACCTTTTATTTCTCAAACAACAGTTATTGGATTTTTTGTACGTAGGGGAAAAACCGAGACATTACAAGGTAATAGGTGAAAAAAAAAACCCAACAATATTACCAGAACTTTGTGAAGAATGTGGACAGACACACCAAAAAAAACCCAACAACATTACCAGAACTTTGTGAAGAATGTGGACAAACACACCAAAAAAAAACCTAACAATATTACCAGAACATTGTGAAGAATGTGGACAAACACACCAAAAAAAAACCAACAATATTACCATAACACTGTGAAGAATGTGGACAAACACACCAAAAAAAAACCAACAATATTACCAGAACACTGTGAAGAATGTGGACAAACACACCAAAAAAAACCCAACAACATTACCAGAACTTTGTGAAGAATGTGGACAAATACACCAAAAAAAAACTTGTCTAAAAAAGCTCGTTATGGATTTATTTTCAAGTTTGACTAATTATTTATAATTCTTTAATTTTTATCACTATACTTAAACATTTACTGAAACAACTTTCAGAAACACTTCAAACTGTAAACCAAATGTGTCATTTTCACAGACACATCACGTCTTATTTCCATTACATTCGTAAGTACGTTCATCTGTACCTGTTTTCCTAATATTATGAGGTCAACTTTTTCTTCCTGAGCCAACTTGGCAAGAATTTTGGAAACGTGGATAGGTTGAAGTGTTTCGTAGTCCTTCCCACCTATTTCCACGTGTATGCCCCGATCCACACCCATAGCAAGAGCAGTTCTTAGGGTTTCCTGTAAGTCACAAAGAATAACATGCTAAAGTAACGTTTTGTTTAAGAACGTTTGTTATATTTCTACAGAAGGTTAAAAAATACTCCAATAAACAATTAACAGAAATGTTGACTAGATCTGAGTAATTAATGCATCGTGATAATCGATTACTCATCAGTATTCTCACGAGACTTGGATAATTAAGAGTCGTCAAATAATACCGTAAAACACTCATTTCAACTTTTGCCATTTTGAATAATTCAGTTCATTACTCAGCTTTAATAACTTAAATTTGGCACAGAAATCCTTTTTACAAAGAGCTTTGTAATGAGTTGATTTTACTAATCAACAAGACTTATTAACTGATTATATTTAATTAGTACCATCTAAGTACGTTATCTAATCCTCCAGTAACATAAAGAAACAAAGTGTTGTAACAGAACTGTGTGCACATTTCAAACCTTATTATTCCAGACAGTTACTCAAGTGTTTTGTAACTAATCACAACAACTCATTTTATTTATGTTAACAATGTTAATAAACGTTACAACTTGACTTCACGCTAGCTGCAGTTTAATGTTTACATTGATGGTATGTTAACTTTTTAAAAGACTTCCTAAAGTAATCCTAATGAGTCCAAGTTAAGATATCATTAATATAGTCTGTATATGATTAACTCAGTCAGGCTATAATATAGTCATTTCAAAGTTTTTATCTGTATTTATCATAATGTGATTGATATAAAAGTAAAAACAAGAATTTCAAACATTACAATCAAATAGTTATTTATTTTTACTATATGAAAAGTTTTCACAAGAATTATAACTTCTAAACAAAGAAAAATCTATTGTTTAGCAGGTCTTTGTTGGAAGAGTTGCAGTTGTCCTAAACAATACAAACTTTGATGAAACAAGTCTAGACACATTGTTTGGAAAAAGAAAAACACTTATCATGGCATTGTTTGATATAATGTAATTAGTTATTGGTTGAGGCCTTAACTGAATTGTTGTAGACTCCAGCTGTGCTGGTTTCAGAGAACTTCTAAAAAGTTTTTATGGTAATTAATAGTACAATTAAATAAAACCACTGACATCTAGTGTTTATTTTTGGTACTACATGGTAGTGTAAGGAGGTAGGACTACTTATATTTTATTAATTTCTAAAAAAATTTTGGGGTCATAACCTCCTGGACCCCTCCTCCAGATCTACACATGCATGTAAAATATTAAAGATTAGTTATTAATTCCTGAAAAAGTAACGGGACCAGACCCCCCTGGACACCTCCACTAATTCTGATTAGTTGATTGTTGAAATAACTGAAAACTAATAATTGTAACAACTAATTCTGATTAGTTGATTGTTGAAATAACTGAAAACTAATAATTGTAACAACTAATTCTGATTAGTTGATTGTTGAAATAACTGAAAACTAATAATTGTAACAACTAATTCTGATTAGTTGATTGTTGAAATAACTGAAAACTAATAATTGTAACAATTGTCTCAGGAGTGGGTGTACAGAGACAGTCTTTAGTGACCAAAACGTCCCTTGTTGTAAGTATATTACATTAAAAACACAAACGTGACCAGTACACTGACCTGGCATGGTGGTGGACCACATGACACTGCTATCACTTCACTTGCTAGCTTCTTCTCTTTCAACCTTACAGCTTCCTCCACTGCTATTTCATCAAACGGATTAAGGCTGTGTTTCACTCCTTCTGTAACCACTCCTGTCTTATCGGGTTTCACCCGAATCTATGGGAGTAAATTAAGTTGTGACTCGACATGTTAAGGCACAAACACCCAATTTCTAACAACTAAGTGGAAAAAAAAATCAACTCCTCTTTAGTTTGCTTGTTTTGCAAGTGATCAATGTTTCTGCCCTTCAACTTACGTAACAGTAACAGATGTTACATGTAACAGTATACATTATCTTCTCCTACGAACATCATTCAAGAAGTAATAAAAATTAACAAGTCTGAATACACACGTATATAAACATGCAAAATTTTCAAAAATTCCTATAGTTATTACATATGAAATTTCTGTTAATACTTCTGCAGTTATCTTTTTCAAAACCCACAGCACTAAACACAAGGTCTTCTATTTATAGATCTTATACAGTCAATTACATGTTCACGAGCTAAGATAAACTGCCCATGAAAGCTTTGTTTGGAAGAGTAAAAAACATAATCTTAGTAATAACCAGCATACACGACTGGAACTTCGTTGATCTAAGTTTTTAACATTTCAAAAATTGTCATCCAATTTAGCAAAATTCCTTGCGTGTGCAATTTTTGATATTTTTAAATTCTTGTTTTTGGTGTTTATAATTAGAATGTACTGCCTTAACCTTTGAACTTGTGTTTCCTCCCTGCCACCCACCACATTAATTCTTCTCAGTTACCCGTAACATTGATATACTTTATACATCTCCTAATATAACACAATACGTACGCTTCAACTCTTAACACTTATGTGAAGAGCCGAGGTGTTTTCTTAAACAAAAAATTACATTTCAAAATAATTTTAATAATGTTATACTTAATACTCCAAGCCTAGATATTACCAGCAACTTTACAGATGTTTTATGACCAGTTAGATTTGCACATAATTTAAAAAATTTGACATATCACTTAATACTGCTTATATGAATTATTGACAAAACTGGACATGTAGTAATGGTGGCATCTAAGCCCAAAATATTTACTTTGAAAAGAAAAGTTTAATACATAGTTTTTGTCACAAAAACATGCTCTAGCCCACACATAAATATTAAGCTAAAACAGGTATTTTTTGTAAATATTGAAAAGGTGATGCTTAAGTTTAACATGTAGTAAGCAAAAAAAAACAGTGAAGGATAGTATAGAGACATGAAGATTTTACTAGCTGTGTATATTTGAAACTTAAGTTAAATAGAACATTAAATGTGTATTAAGTTAGCTATTTTAAATTGTTTTGACAGATAAATTAGAAAAAGACTTTGTTATGACTGTTTTAATCTTTTTAAAACAGTTAATAATATACGTGCACAAAAAAAAATTCTGATGACCTTCAACTGATTGAGTTGACTAAAATAGCTACAGGCTATGTTTTTCCTGTTTAACTTTTAAATTACAGAATTACAAGTGCAATACCTCTGAAATCATAGGTTTGAATACTGTTTTGTCCCAGCTAAAAGTTAAAACAAATAAAAAAGCTCGTAGTAATTACAAAACTAAATGTTGGTTGTATTTTTACTAAGCCTACTACAGCAACCCGTGATTTACATATCACATGATGTTCAAATTCCACTTGCTGAGATTGTGACGAGTGAGAAAGCTTGCTATCACGGAAAGTATAAAAAAAAAAATGTTTTTCAGAAATGCATAATAAGAATTATACCATAAATATTCACTTCTGCTATAGTTACTATATTAATGTAACTCTAACATTAACAATAATTGAGATCAAACAATGAAACGAGATCAAGGACATCTTACGGCTAAGTAGTAATACTAGCTAGTATTAGATTTGTAGGCCAACGACAACTTATATTATTAGAACATTCAATTTCAATCAAAGAACAAGTAGTAACGTATCCATCTTTGTTGTGTTCGTCTAATTAATCATTAACTTAGTCTAAATCTTAGAATAAGCAAGAATGTTAAGAATTATTTCGGATCTATTCAATATTGATAATACAACGAAAAATAAAAACGTACTTTAACTGCATAATCAATTACTCGTTTACACCCCACTAACACTCGCATAGCCATCTTCAAACTAAAAAAAATCTGCAGCCTACCGTGCTGCCCCTCTTGGAAAGAAATGGAAACTCGGTAAAAAAAAAGGGTGGTTTGGTAAGTTTAAAAGATAAAATTATTTTAATAAACAGATGTTATATTTGGTATATAAATATTACGAAATAGCGATGAAGTAACTTTGAAAGTGTTTCTTTATTTCCTTTCATTTAAATAATGATATATATTTATGTGTATATCAATGAATCTGCTTAAATTATTCAGGCCTAAACGTTTGTTTTTTTGTTTTTAATTTCGACGC